GCTGTCCGGAGGGTCAGTGCCGTGCTGCCGACAGCGCTGCAGCAACACGCGCAGCTGCTCTACCGCGCAGGTTCTGGGGGTGGTGGGGAAGGGTCAGGGCCCCCTCCGCAGCTCTGCAGAGTGCGGCATTGCTGCAGGGCAGGCTGCGGGGCTGGGGCTGCGGGGCTGCAGCCAGCCAGCCCCCTTCGGCTCTGCAGGGTAGCTGAGCCAGATCCTTAAGGACGTGACTCTGCCTGCCTCCTGGTTCTGGCTGCCCTTTTAAAGCTTGCAATTTCTTCTCTCCCTCTCTCTCCTTCCAGTCAGAGCTCTGAGACCTGCTGGGACAGTTCCTTCCCCTCTCCCCAAGCCTCCCTCCCCATCCCGATGCGCTTGGCTGTCTCGGCTAGGGCCGCTTGGAGCAACGGCCACTGACACCGTGAAGGAATGTGCCCGGCTCAAGCTCCCTTCCGGAGAAAGATTAACTTATTGCCCTGTGCCGACCCTGCTGCAGCAGGAAGGCTCCTTGTGGGGCAAAGCTGCTGTTTGCTCACTACTGTTATACAGAGAGAAACGGTGTTTGTGCTGTAGAGTATCCCCAGTAAAAGAAAGTATTTGTTTTTTCACGCAGCCTCTGAAGGCTTTGTCCCTCTTGCTTGCAGGGGTATTTTTCACAATATCCTGCCCTGTGCAGGAGCTACTTTCCCAGTGCAAGGTAGGGTTTATTCACTGGCTCCTGCGAACAAGCTGTTCCTGCACACAAGGAAGAAACAAACTGCTGCATGGACCTCTACCATTCAGACAAGCTGAACAGAATGGGGTGAGTTTACACACTTGTAAACAAACAGGGACATCAGGCATTATTTTAAATCCATTTTTTGTAGGGTAGCTTCAGCCCGAATAGCACCAGGGCCATTCCCATGCAAGGCGGCAGGGAGGGATCCTGCTTCCCAGGCAGCGGCGCTCCGAGAGCCCTTTGTGCTGGGAAATGCCCCAAGCAGCCCGCAAACACTGCCGCTCCAAAGGCAGCACTACAGCCCCCGCCGGCCGGCAGACGGAGCCGGCTCCTC